ACCAAACAATATCAAGATGGCATGAAAAATAAATGTATAAATCGGTGTCAAACAATTGTTAACTTATCGGTTATTGTCAAGTTTATGGTAATTTATTGCGAGATTTCAACTATTATATTCACACGAGATGCCTTATTTAAAGAAAAATGCTGCTGCAAATCTGAGGACACAGATTTGCGCTTTGTATAATGCCAATGGTGACTGGCGTAATCTTGCAAACGTACTACAGGTGCCAAAAAGAACCGCGTATCGATGGGTTAACAACCAAGAACAACCGGAAAAGCAGCGAGGAGGTAAACGTAGAGCTAAAATAACTGATGAGCACCGTCAATTCATGGAACGTTCAGTCGAAGAAAATCCTAAAATTACTCTTAAAGGACTGAGTGAAAAAATCCGTGAAGATTTTGCACTCAATGTCTCCAACGAATGCGTTCGACAGCATCTCAATGGATTGATGTTTACTTTGAAGACTGCTCGTAGAGAACCAAAGAACGCGAATAGTATTCAAACGAAACAAGCAGGAGTATTATGTAGAAAATTTATTGGATCTTCAAGCACAAAATATACCTATCATATACATAGACGAGACAAACTTTAATTTGTTCATATCGCGGACTCGGGGTCGTTCAAAAAAAGGGACTCGCTGCACAACAGTGTCTGCAGGTTGCAGAGGGTCGAATATTCACCTAATAGGATGCATTGGAAACATGGGGCTAATTCATTCCGAACTACGTCGGGGCTCTTTCAAGAAGCCGGAAGCAAATGAATTTGTGAGGCAATGCCTAAGAAGAGCGCAAGGCCTTTACCAAACTGGAGTTGCATTAGTTATTGATAATGCTCCATGCCACTCTACTATTGAAGAGGTTTTTGCAGAAAACGAATTTGAACACCACACACTTTTACGACTAAGTCCGTACAGCCCTATGTTTAATCCTATTGAACAAGCGTGGTCTGCATTAAAAGCAGGAGTAAAAGCAGATATGGCTGTACAGCTAAATAACATCTTGGCTGGTGCTGACCGGGATCATCTGACTCAAACAGAATATCGAATGCAGAAATTAGAGAACACCGTTCATAATAATATGGACAAGATTACTGTTGCCAATTGCGCAATGTTTATTGCCCACATCCAACGATTTATCCCTTCTGCATTGAATATGCAAGATATAAATTTTTAAGAGTGTTATTTAAAACATAACGTTACCTACTTTCTTAAGTAATATAATTGTTATCTACTGTGTTTGTAAGTCAATAAAATGTTTTTGCCCATTTCATTTTATTTAATGCTGATATATAATTTTATTTCCATGTCAATTTAAAATTCATAAGTGCCAATATGATATGGACTAATGTCATTTTGATTTTGTTTAATGCCGATTTGCTTTTGATTAGTGCTAAATTTGTTGATTAATGCCAATATGATATTGTTTATTGCCAATTTGATATTGACTAATGCCATTTTAATTTTGATTATTGTCAATTTGATTTTGACTAATGCCAATTTGAAATTGACATTGCCAATATGATTTTGACTAATGTCATTTTGATTCTGATTAGTGCCAATTTGTGCTTGAAAAGGTAATAGAGTTGTAGATATGGTTATGTTGAACTAGATTTAAAGTATCAACAAAGTTCTTCAGAAGGAAAGATTTGCGAACGAGGCTATTCTCGAACATCACAAAACGGAAGCAGTTAAAGTCGCCACAAATTATAAAGTTACAAAGTTTTTCCCAATCAAGCTGATACTAAGCGAATCAAGAAACAGTTCCAAATCATCCAGCGGAACATCTGGAGGTATGTATAGTGTAATAATAAATATGTTGATCGAGAAATTGACACATTTACCAACAACTACATCAATTAGCGGGGCAAGATTTAAAATTTCGGACCCATCACAGTTGAACAATTTGATTTACTGACTGCAGGCTATAAGAACGCCACCCACTCTTCTATCCACAAGACGGTGATAACGATCATTTCTAATTACATTAAATGTAGTAGGCAGCAACTCAGAGTTGATATCTGGAGATAGCCATGTTTCGGTAAGCAAAATTATATCAAAATCGGCAGAATTTGTAGCGGTGTGTAATTGGTGAGTTTTTGTTTGTAATCCTTGCACATTTTAATAAAATAAACGAAGTGTGTGAGTCTTCCTGTTGGATCCTGTTAGTTTCCCCGTTGAATAGTTCGGTCATTGTCAGATGATACAATTCTGGGTGACCCATTCATATATTTAATTCTTATGTTCACCTTGCCGGCGGCAATGCGGGTATCAAGCTGTGTTTTGCGAGATTTGTAGAAAGAATTTTGCAACGGTGTTTTGTCTGTTGTTAGAACAGCAGCTTTGAACTTATCAGATTTTAATAATGACTTAATGTTCCTAGGAACATTGTGAACTACATCAGAGGAGGAAAAAGATTTGCAATAGGCGCTTACGATTCAAGATCGCCAGATCAAATTTACCCAATCGCTTTACAGTAAAATCAGGTGTCTGGATTTTCAAATAGTTAAGTATCTCATTTATAGATCTAACATCATCATTTTGCTGGTCAACTTTACTACCAGCCGGAAGCTCAGGCAAGTTGAATGCTACTAGATTATTCTCACGTTTTTCCCGGTCCCCGCAGCCGGTCCCGCAATGACGGTGGAGGCGACAGAAGAACGTTTAGTTCTAAGGATTTCCAGATTCTTTTGCAGAGTTACAACAAGGCATGTTAATTCGTGTAACTTTTTTAGTTGTTACTTCAGATCAGCGTGACCACTGCATGAAATATGAATACAAGTACGACATAGGTCGCAAGAAATCTCAATTGTAAGATTTAGGTCTCCCAAAGATACCCCACAATTAGTACTCATAATCACACAAAGTGGGATAAGGATAGGTAGTACGCTTTCACGCTGGCGAGCCGATACCAGCTACTTAAACAGACAAGGGAATAGGTAAGGGTGAAAAAGAACAAAGGAAGAGGAAGAAAAAGAAAAAAAAAAGTATAAAACTTAGATAAATCCAAACTAGAACCAACAAACGCGAGGATTTTGATTTGCCTTGTGCATAAGATGATAGAAAAATAGAGAACTCACGTTCAAGCAATCTCACATCTCCAGACGTAAGGTTTGAAAACATGTTTTAAACAAATATTACGGGAAGAAAGAATACGTTTTATCAGAACGAGTAACATTTGCGATGTGTATGAGAAAGAAAACGGAAACAGTAACTCAATTGACAACTAGACTTCGTAGTTTGGCAGGAAATTGCGAATTTGGTGCAAATTTAAACGAACGTCTGCGTGACCAACTCGTAATCGCAATTAATAACTCTGCGTGGCACCAAGAGATCATTCGGGAACATCACTTGGATTTATTATTAACTTTGTAACTTTGTCAGAAGTTGAAGCTACAGCCGTGAAGTTTGAACATGCAAGTATTCATTTGCAAAAATTAACATCACTTAACTTCAACAAATATACTGACTTAAAATTTTCGTCAACGATATTTTTCATTAGAACAAACAAACGATTAAAATTTGAAAACAATAGAACAAAAACTAAAAAGTTTTTTTTCAATAATGAGTTGCTCCGCCACGATTTGTAATGCACTTATTTAGACGGCATGCTATCAATCAAGTGATCTATAGCTGATCTCATCCCATTCATGTTCAATGGGCGAGCAAGCCATGGGAGGACGGCAATGTTACCTTCTTCCAAAAGACGTGTTGTAGCCCTAGCTGTATTAGGGAGTGCATTATACTGTTGGAAAATGGCATTTTCCAGCCCCTGAAGACATGGAAGTGCAACGGGTTCTAGCACATTGGCAATATAACGAGCGGTGTTTAAGTTGCTATCAATGAAGACCATGCTACCGGTGCATTTGTGCCATTGTGGGCCCACAAGTAAAATCGGGACTCGTCACTAAACACAATTCGCTCTTTCGTTACTCTATTCTAGCCTGCGTAGATGGTGAAGTGGTGTAAGAGGAAGACATAAAAATGGACGTCATGAACGCAGCCCATAAGACCTTATCCGGCGATAAACAGATGACATTGACATTCTGGGTCCTACACCTCTCATCCAATCATATGCAATCGATCGAGTTGTTGAAAATCTGTCTCTTGTGGCCAAAAGTCTTTAGCGAGGTTCTTCGCGATCTGTAGTCCTGCGGGGACGTCCAGATCCAGGGCGATGTTGTTGCACTCCTTCCTGGGACCATTTGGACCAACATCTCAATACTGTTATAACATTTCGGTTTACACGACAAACAATTTCTCTTAGCGAAAGTCTGGCCTTTCTCATGCCAATAATACGACCACGTTCAAATCATCAAGCTCAGACTGAGTGAAAAGTTGTGGGATGGCATAATCTGAAGGATCTTGGAAATCACAGTCATCGTCATTCACATCAGATTCACTACAGCTCATCTCACCTAGCATTGCTGAAGGCTGAGGGGCAGGCACAGAGATATAGTATTTTTTTATTTGTAATAAATAAAAAAATACTATATCTTTTTTCTTCTTAGACTTATAGCCATTAAAATCATAGTAGCAAAAATAACAGTTATCACTGATTTTTTAGTTCCCTCAACACCATCAGAATGCCAAATTTGAATGATTTTTTTACTTGGTGACCACTTTCTGATATTTTCTACACAAATATAACACACTTTGTGAGGTGCCCATGATTTGTCATGGTCCTCAAGTTTCATACTGAAATAGGAGTAATACTTTCCTAACAAAATCTGTAATGTTCTGTGATGTTTTTTAAGGACAAGTTCACCACAAATGTAACAAAAATTGTTGGGAGAATTACGCCAACCATGACTAGAAGATATTTTATTATAATCAAAAGAAATAGGAAAACGCGCAATGCTGATTTTCAACTTAAAATTTGTGAGACATCAAAAAAAAAATTTGCGAAAAAACTAAGCGCGATTGGACATTTTTTGATTATTTTTCCCGGATTCAGCACCCAAAAATCAATAAAGATCGCCTTTCAGTTTCAAAAAAGTTATTTGTTCGCAGGCCTCTGTAATTTTAACAATTTTATTTACCTATATCTCCGTGGGGGAGTTCCAAAAAGATAATCATCAGGTTCAATCATAACCTTTAAAGCCCCACCGGTTTTAGTAATTCTCATATTTTCGATATCTCTCCGTTCCCTATCAACACTCCACTGTGCCATTTTTCCAAACCTCTCTGATAGTGTTAACCTTGTCGTTGCCACAATCGGAGATGTTGAAGACGTCGAACTTTCATCTGAAGATGAATCACCCCCAGGAGATCCAGGACGTTTCTTTACTTTTTCCTTCTTAATTTTTGTCAATAAAACCTTGAAAGAAAATAATTTTTATTTTTGTCACTTATTTATTTGTTAATTTTTTCTTACCGGTTCAGAAGAAATCTTTTCTTTTGGTTTAACCCTTACGGAACTTTTATTTCCACCTGGCGCGGGCGGTTTAACTCCTGTTAAATTAATAACTTCTCCGGTACTATTCCTCGGTCTTGGAGGCGGGGGTCTCCTCCTAGGGTCCGTTGGTTTATCCGTCGAAGCAGCTCTCATAGGTCTCCTATTAGTAGGAGGCGGTGTCATAGGACGAGGTACGCGTCGCGGGGGTGGTGACGGCGACGGCGAAGCGGGACGAGGACGCGATCGCGACGATTTTACGGAAGACGACGGCGGCGATCGGGTTTTTACCGGAACTTTTCCACGCGGGCGCGGAGCCGGCGACCTCGACCTAGATCTATGTGCGTGTCTATTATGATGTTTCGGTGAACAAACCGAACAGGAATCATCCGAACAGCTACTAACTGAACTCGCAGAGGGTGATCTCCTACATTTATGAGTTGGAGGTGATCGTGGACGTCCAGGTCTTCTTGGTGGAGATGATCTTCGACCGGTAGATGTTCGCCCAATAGGTGATCGACGAGTTATTGGTGAACGCCGACTCATTGGAGATCTTCTCGGGGGTGATCTTGGTGATCGTCTACCAATGGGGGAACGACGAGATGGGGGTGAACGAGGAGAACGTGGGGATCGACGGGTTACCGGGGAGCGAGATCTTGTACGACGTGGAGATGGTGATGAGGAACCATCCAAGTAAAGTGATTTGTAACCGCTATGTCTCCACCTTCAGTTATTTTTAAAAAGAAAATTTAAAATAATTATAAATTCCTCAAAAAATTTTTACTTTTCAATGATACATTAAAAAGTTGTATTTTATTTCTTTTTAATTTGTGATACCTGTTTGGATCTTTTGCTTCCACTTCTAACAATTTTTTATCCCAAAATGTTGATGAATTCGGTGAAGCTCGAGCTTTTTTCATCACACTGTCAATTTCCCTTCGACGACCAGCCGGTAAACTTGGATCTAAAGACACAAAAAATATAAAAAAGATTTTATATTATTAATAATTTTATTTTTAGAGATTATAATTTTATAATGTATACAGTTAATAAAACCGCTAATAGATGGTGTCATATATGGTTATGCCCAAGGTCTATAGAACATAAGGTTACCTAATTCCCTATGCCTCTGTAGTATCGATTATTACCCCGCAGATTGACGTCACTAGTTCGATACAGTCAGAGTAAAAGATAGCCTATACGTGCCTATACTGTGGTACAATCTTTATAATATATTTAAACCTCGCATCGTGTTGTGTTGTTCATAGAACCAGATACGTCACTGACCCACCTTGCCCCTCAGAGGAGGAGAATCGGTATTGGGTAACCTTATGTTCTATAGACCTTGGGTTATGCCTAGTTACGCCATCCAGATGTAAGAGACAGAAGAACGATAACTGTCATTAGTTAAGATTAGTTAGCAATAGAGTTCAGACATAGTTGTAAGAAGTTTTTTGTAATTCGCGACGGTAATGAAAGCTGTTACAGTACTCAAATGGGTGCTGTAATGAGACTCCTTACAGCATCCGATGCTGTAATGAGATTTTAGTAACATTTTATGGAACCAGTTTAAGTGGTGACATTGGGTCATTAATTTTTCTAGTTGTCAATGTGACAATTTTTGTCTATAGATGATTATCTATGGATTAAACACGTTCTTAGCATCGAATACAAGATCTACAATGATGAGGACATTGAAGTCTGAGCAATTTCTCTTATTTTCGGAGGTGCACATGAAACATTTTTTTTCAGGTGAATACATTTTGTGTTTTGATAATTTCTAATTGTCAATTCTAATGTCTATTTTCAAGTGTTACGGTGTTACCAACTGCTACATACCTATTTCCCTGCATTGTCAAAATTTATTTTATTTTTGATAAAAAAAAAGATAAAAACGCAAATTACAAAAAATAGCATAAAAAACACGTTTCATAAGACTTAAGAACTCGTGACTTCGCCACTCGTTTTTCAAGTTGACTTGGTGCATTTCAAGCGTGTCTTACGAAACTTGTTTTTTAATGTACTATTATAAGTTACTTTTTAATAAACGATTTTAAAGTAAAGTGACTTAGGCCCACTTTTACCACCTCTAGTTAAAGTGGTTGTCAATTTAGTTGTTAGCGCAAAAATCAGCTTTTACCACCATATTTACCTTGTTGATAGCGTTAACTAATAGTTATTTTCCGTCTATCCGTAACTATCGGTTTGGGGGTCGGGTTAAATATTTACCTCATTGATAAACTTGGTTGAAGATATTTTTAACCAGATGGCGTAACATAAATCTAACCTAAAATCATAATAAACGCTTACGTTCGCTCAAAACTCCATAATAGTGATTAAAACGGTGTTATTGTCGTGTTATAACAGTGTTACACAACGATAGAATAAAAAATCATGGATTTCGAAAGGTTTGAAATTGATGAGCAAGAAATCTTGGAGAAAATTAATTATCTATTTCCCATTCGGGGTGGACGCGTAATAAAAGACATTAGACCACCATCAAACTGATGAATTTATTAAAAGATTTCAATTATCAAAGGAATGTGTGTTTTCACCACATTTTAGCACAAATTGATAATGACATCAAACCACGAACGAGGAAGTATTATATATGTATAACACATAGTTTTTATCAGTAGAGGCATGAATAATTAATTTTTTTTAGAAATTCTGCAATCCCTGTGGAATCAGCAAATCATTAGCTTCAGGTCAATAATAGAAGATTAGTAGTTATCAATTATTTTCGGAACTTATAAAAATAAACTTTATAATTATTAAAAATAATAAAAGAAAACGTTATTTACAATAAAAAAAAGTATTTAAAAAATAGATTAACTGTCTTTTTCTTTTCTTAATTTTTTTATCTCCACTTCTTTTTTCAATTTTATCACTTCCATCTCTTTCCTTCTCATTTTCTAACATTAATGTTGTTAACTCTAATCTTTTCTTTAATAACTCATTATAGGTATCGTGAANGTCTTTTTCTTTTCTTAATTTTTTTATCTCCACTTCTTTTTTCAATTTTATCACTTCCATCTCTTTCCTTCTCATTTTCTAACATTAATGTTGTTAACTCTAATCTTTTCTTTAATAACTCATTATAGGTATCATGCACACCTTTATTGGACACTACACCATATAAAGCAGATCAATTTTTTATAAATACATAGTAGGTTAGTTAGTATTTTGATTGTACTTTTACAATCACTCCGCCAGTCCAAAATGCACACCAAACAATTACTCGCGGGGGATGTATTGGTTGATTGAGTACCACACGATGATTTTCAACACCCCAAATTCGACAGTTTTGTTTATTTACGTATCCGTCGAGTTGAAAATGTGCCTCATCTGAAAAAATTATTTTCTTCGAAAAGTCCGCATTAATTTGAGAGAAAAAGAAAAAAAAAAGTAAATATCACATATGGGCAAGATATGTATATACAGATACAAGGTTAGACCGCACATCAATGCATGACCACAAACCAAATAACATTATAAATCTGATAAAGAAATTACCACCTTTCAAATGTCTCTCAATCTTTCAAATACCCATCTTTTAAAACTAGACATACGTAATTGTCGGATCGACATAAATGAAACAATGACGTTCTATATTTAGGTGGTATGATTGTAAGACAAAAGCTGGTTGGATATCTTCCATCATTTGACTTAAATTTTGTCATAGAGGTATCGTGGGATCCGTGTCGTGATAATTTGTGAAACAATAACAAAGTAAGCAGTTCACGTCTAGAACTCATTTTTAACCAGTTCACATCCTTCAGCCTGTACGATACTCGGTCATACTTCCTGATACCAAAGATGTAACGAAGCATCACATAATTGTTTTTTGATATTATATGACAAATAAGCTCTATGAGGATATAATTGCCTAAGATAGAAATAAGCTTTCTTTATATAATCATTAATCTGCCCATAATATCTAAAGCTATTATCAAGTATTAGACCCAAGCACTTCACATTATCCACTATCCGCTGCAAAGGTATATTTCCCAATTTTAGATCAATATTAACCTGAACACTCTCTACAGAACTTCCAAAGCATATCCACATGACAGGGTTAATCTTCAATTGATGGAAATTAGCAATCTTATGGACAATTTGTAAATCTCTATTTAAATTTGTCTCCACATCATGACTATGGCCACGACGAAATGATTGGTATATTTGAATATCATCAGCATATATATTAATATTAGAAGAGGACAAGTTGGCAGCGAAACTAGAAGTAAAGAGTGCAAAAAGAAGCGGTCACAGGACGGAACCCTGCGGAACACCTGAACTAACAATAACTTCTTGCGATTCCCGATCACCAACTCTTACCTTTTGTGTTCTACCTGGTAAGTAGTTTAGTATTAGTGCCACGGCACCACGACCCAGTCCCAACAACCCTATTATACGACAGAGCAATGTATGATCAATGGTGTCAAATGCCTTAGAAAAATCCAGGAGTACCACTGCTGTAAGCATACCTTTGTCAGCTGCACCCAAAACATCATCAGTGAGTCTTAGCATAGCTNACGCTTACGTTCGCTCAAAACTCCATAATAGTGATTAAAACGGTGTTATTGTCGTGTTATAACAGTGTTACACAGCGATAGAATAAAAAATCATGGATTTCGAAAGGTTTGAAATTGATGAGCAAGAAATCTTGGAGAAAATTAATTATCTCTTTCCCATTCGGGGTGGACGCGTAATAAAAGACAATAGACCACCATCAAACTGATGAATTTATTAAAAGATTTAGGTTATCAAAGGAATGTGTGTTTTCACCATATTTTAGCACAAATTGATAATGACATCAAACCACGAACGAGGAAATATTATATAGCACCTAGTTTTTATCAGTAGAGGAATGAATAATTAATTTTTTTTAGAAATTCTGCAATCCCTGTTTCAAATAGATTGTTGCTTACTTTAAGATTTTCTTGCTAGAGGCAACATGTTATTGGATGTAGCTGACTTTTGTGGAATCAGCAAATCATTAGCTTCAGGTCAATAATAGAAGATTAGTAGTTATCAATTATTTTCGGAACTTATAAAAATAAACTTTATAATTATAAAAAATAATAAAAGAAAACGTTATTTACAATAAATATGTACATTATTATTTAAATATCGTCAATAAATATTTAAAAAATAGATTTTTTCAATTTTATCACTTCCATCTCTTTCCTTCTCATTTTCTAACATTAATGTTGTTAAATCTAATATTTTCTTTAATAACTCATTATAGGTATCATGCACAGCTTTATTGGACACTACACCATATAAAGCAGATCAATTTTTTATAAATACATAGTAGGTTAGTTAGTATTTTGATTGTACTTTTACTTGTTGTTTGCAAAACCCAAACGTTATATTCCACGTACTAACGTAGCTATTTTTATTCTCGAGGACATTTTTATGATCCACCACCAAGTCAAGTAAAAGTGTTATTTCTTCAGGTTTAAAATTTGCCCCCGAATACGCTTTTCGGCCTGATTTGCGGTTTTTATTTTTTCGTCATCGTTGATTGCCACTAACAGAGAACAGAACTGACAGGTTTATGAGAATTACCCACGAATTACCAATGGACAAAGGAGATAGAAACCTGTAATACCTCTTTTACACGTAGTCACCAACAGTCATAATAATATTCCCCTAGATTTTTACGTTAACTACTAGATAGCCTATCCATTAGTTATATCGAAATGGTAAAAGTCATTTCGCAGTTAACTAATAGATAAACGTTATCCGATAGTTAGACTAACGACCAGTTTAACTAGAAGTGGTAAAAGCGGGCCTTATTGTTATATCCATAAACTTATAGCGAACTTCTCAATTGCTTGTTCAGCCGATTTCGTTCCGCTGTATTAGAGCTTATACAACTAGCTGACTGATTTAATTCAACTGTTGACACCTGGTGAACTTACCCATTGATTCACATGAATCACTTAGCTATTGAT